AAATTGTCGCTTTTTATGCTACTTTAGCTGTGTAGTTGTATATACAGTGATTGAGATCTGTGGTAGATTATCATCTGGGGCAATCCTTTCTGCTTAAATTATTATGTATTAAAATGAAAGCTGTGTATTGTGTAAATCGCTCCTGCAAACAAAACAGGAATGCTGCCCGGTAATACAAGAAAGGCCACAATGACGTAAAACAGAAGAAAAAGAATAGAATAGAATAGAATTCAACTTTATTGTCATTGCACATGCACAGGTACAGGGCAACGAAATGCAGTTTGCATCCATCCAGAAGTGCTTTAGTGATATAGATATATTACAGTATATATTAGCAATAATATAGATATGTAAGTAAAGGACAGCAGTAGGAGACAATTATGTTTTTATATCAGAAAAATGTGTCACAGGCTGGGTCTCTGACCCAGCGCTCTGAGTTCATTTTGTATTCGTCTCATTTTAGATATGTGATTAGTTTGTGTCATTCCTATTTAGCTTTAGTTAAGGAAAGGCAGTTATTATTTATTGTTTTCTTGGTTTCTATGTTTGAGTTCTTGTATCGTTCATCACGTGTTAGGTCTGTTAAGCTTGTGTTGTCATGTCTAGTTTCAGTGTTTCCTGTTTTATTTTGAAGGAGTCGTGTGTTCTTTGTTCATTGTATTTAGTTTCACTTCCCCTGTCCTGTCATTAGGTTCATGTCAGTCAGCTGTTCCTCCATGTGTTCCCACTTCCCCTAATCACCTCCTGTGTATTTAAGTCCTGTGTTTTCAGTGTGTCATTGTCAGATCGTCTGCTTTGTTTGCAAGCCAAGAAGTTGCGTCAAGTCTCCTCATGTCAAGTCCATGTTCCTGTTGTAGGCTTTATTATGTGAAAGTATAGTTTAAAGGTTTTCCAATTCAACATGTAAACACACATTCATACTGTGACAGAGTTAATCATGCTGAGTGGCTGTTAGCTCTAGAAGGTTGGTTTTCTCTGTATAAAGTTGTAAGAGGTTTAGCTTGTGTTTCATTGATCTGAAATAATATTAATCAAAAACATGTTTTAACCCAAAACAAAATCATTCCTACACCTAACCAGCAGTTTCAGGCAAGACAAAGTGAATCGAGAGCATAGGTAAAACTAAACAGCAAGTGAAACCAAATTAAAACCCCAAATAAGATACAAACCACATTCTCTTTGCTGGAAAACCCACTAAAACTTAACATCACCACAATTGACCCCCCAACATGTCTGCATGCTGTCATCACTCATTGTGTTTTTCTACAGAAGTTTGTGCATTAAGGCACGGATGGGAAAAGACCTGCTGCGTGTTTCTCAGCAATATCAGCAGCAGCTGACAGAACTAGTTGTCACAATACTAAAATTTGAACCTTGATAACCAGGAAACCGTTTGTGATACCATGGAGGATGGAACATAATATTGTTGTAAATAAAGATTAGAACATTGATGATCTGTGCAAATGTATTAAATTTTCTTCTTTCTATATAGATACATATCTTTGTTTGCAAGCCAAGAAGTTGCGTCAAGTTTCCTCATGTCAAGTCTCCTAATGTCAAGTCTCCTCATGTCAAGTCCATGTTCCTGTTGTAGGTTTTTAAGTTAATTTAGCTCACCCATTTTAGTTTATCGTTAGCCCTGCATTTTGCCTTTTGTTTACAGTTATTTTGCCAGCCTCAATAATTGGCTCGTTTTCTGTTATTCAAGTCATGTTTCACATTTTGTTTCCGTCTGCATTTGGGTCCACCCTTCACTCTACACACAGTCAGCCCTGCTGATTGCGACAAAATGTGCTAGCTCCTAACAATCAAAATTAAATTTATCTAACAACCTAAGCTCTCCGTATAAACCCAAAGTAGCTTCAGCTGTTCTTTTTTTAATGATTATGTTACTGTTGTAAGCCACGTAACTTTGATCGGCTAATTGACCCACCCCTACGCAATCCCGTCCCCACTCACACAGCCCTCCACTCCCACACTGTTTCCCAAAAATATTGAAGACTCCCACACCAGAAGTCAAGACCTCACATTCCTCTTCTTATTTGAACAAAAAAAAACCCAACAACTTCATACGCAGCAGTTATAGTCTACCTCTTATTTTACTCTCACTCTTTCCCCCTTCACAAGACGTTTGGTCTTTAATGTATTTCAGAGAACATCTGCTAACTATCACTGAACCTCATGGGATTTCCATTTAGCCCAGTTAATTACTCTATCAAGCCGGGTTCATTATCATATTCCTCCGCTTTAAAAAAAACGCAACCGACACTGCGACTGCGCTTGTGCGTATAGGTGTGAGGGTGTGTGCCCAAATGTGTGCGCGCACTCGTGGAAGACTACATGAGCCTGTATGTGCATGGCACCATCTTAAACATATTCCTAATTGCAAGTGGTTCAGCCATAATACTTGTGTTAATGAACCAGAGATGTCTATAGGAGCCAGCTCTGGAAGTCAAGTAGGGAATCTGTTAGTTTACCTCTCTGGGGAGGACACCAAGCTGGTATTAATCTTGATGAACAACAGCGCGGTGACTTCTGCTCGTCTGCTTCATTCCCTGCAGAGGTTAGTCCAGGTGACTGATTGCACTCCATCTACGTCTCACAGGATTTGCACGTGAAGGTTTTGATTTAAACATGAGACACCTGCTTGCGTGACAATGTGACATTTACAGTTAAAAAATGGTTTCAGGCACGATAGTTAAATTCAGTCACACTCTTTGAGAAAATAATTCACTTAGGTGCGGATGGAGAGCCTGCATTTGCTGCTACTCTAACGAGCAGGGCATTTTCAATACAAAAACTTTCCCATAAAGATGATTTTGGAAAGTGCAGGAGCAGAAGGGAGTACAGTTTGATTAATGGAGAGAAATTTTTCACCCAGAAGGTCAAATTTCTCCTTCAAGGATCGACAGACAGTCACAAACAACAACCGCAACGAAAAATAATACATCAAAGGAACGCTGACTTTCCTAATATGTATACCAAGTACTTTAAAATGACACCCTTTATAATGACTTTACTGTCATATCATTTTTAAAGAGCTTCCAAGTGAGTGACTATTGTTTTTCTTTCTGGAGGTCACAGGATTTAAAGCATCGCCAGCTGTTCTGCTAAACAACCATCCAAAGAAAAACAATCACAGATGCATCTACTAAAATGTATATGAGCTGGAAGGTTGGCAGGATCAGTGAAGTCATCTAAAATTAAACGGTTGCTGGTTACAAAAACAGCGAGAGCTGACCCAAAATGCCATGACAAAGAAAAAATGTAGAAAAAAAACAAGAAGACCAACTAAGATGAAGAAGACTTTCATTACTGCAGTTATTATAATTTAGTAAAAATAACTCCTAATGAGAACAAGGAGGTTATTTTGCTATATACATTTTTTACTTACATACATATATATATATATACACATATATATATATATACACATATACATATACACACATATATATATATATATCCATCACATGCAATACAGAAACGAGTCAAGAATAGACTTTTTTTTCCAGATGATTTCCTTACTATACAATAATTTTGTAAAGGCCCAGTCTTTGTGTTATTGTTACAGTTTAGTACAGTACTAACCTACTGTCTTTTTAATAAATGCCTCAACACTTTCACTGAACCTAGTCTCAGACGTTTCAAGTACATACAGATGAGCTTCCTTTACTATATGAGGGTCTATATGGCCGTGGGTGTTCGCTGAGTAACAGAGCAGTAAAATCTACCGTTTGATGAGATTAGCTGAGTGGTGTACTTGAAATAACCTTTCATGCGCTGCCATTATTGTATTAATCTATTCTAAAACAATTTGGTTGAATTAATTAGGCCCTACATATTTCAGCAACACTCACAGGCTGCCTGGAAACAGATGGCTCTGAGGGCGAGCCACTCTCCAATGGATGTGTATGGCTGAGGAGTAAAAGAGAAGAAGAGAAATAGTAATGATGAGAAAAGGAGAAGAAGGGGAGGAAAATGGCAGTTTTGAGGGAAGAAAGAAAGTCGGCTTCCTACATCGAAACCTCTGCATTGTCCAGCCGACAGACTGACGAATGAGAGTCAAAGATTGAGCGAGGAGAGACAGAGAAACAGAGAAAGTTGCTCGGGGTCTCAGGTCCTAATGCTTATCAGTTCCCCTGCAGCTGACAGGAGATTGGTAGCTTAACAACAGTTGGGCAAAGAAGGCTATTATCTCAATCCTACAGTGTTCTGGATGGGTTCAACCTTGAACAGCTTGTAGATGATGAGCCTATCCATATGGTGTTTAAATCGCTCAGCGTTTCCTCAGCCATTAACCTTCAGGACACCTTGCACTTGTCCTCCACGATGACTGACAGCTCCGCACAGATTTCATAAAACATTCCCACTATTGAGTACAATTTCATATGTACATAATATAGCGAAAGACATCACGACCACAGATTTCCAACCGTGTTTCTGTCATTCGGCTTGCATCTTGGCACGTTAAAAAATAACTTTATTACTTTAAAACAACAAACTAAAGCATCTTAGTTTTAGAACTCAGTAAAATATTTGAATATTTTTGTTACAGCATGTTTTTTTTTAATTTCATACTGCTTTAATTGCTCGGTCACGCTACAAATTTATCAGAGTCCCAGCTTGCAGATCATCTATAATATCAAAAAAATTTCTTACTAGAAGCTGTGATGTTATTGCTAACTGTATATCGTGTTTTGTGCAGTTGAGACGGAGCATGGGAATACCCATGCTGCTTATATGTGCAACCGAGACGTGCCAATACCCATGCTGACTCACTGGCTGAGTTTCACTTTCAAAGGGATGTGCAAGAGTGCAAAGCTGTGAGGACAGTCAAGATGTTTTACAGACTGTGGCGTGTGGATTTAAGAGCGGAGCTCGAGTGCTGAAAGGCTGAAGCGTTTACGAGCCGCCAACGCCACATCGTGAAGGACAAGTTAATGGGCAGCTAAGAGGAGGTGGGTCATAATGCACTTGGTGGCTCGGGTCCAGCCATGTCTTCTTTTTTTTTTTTTTTTACAGGAATCTCAACCCTGCTCATGACAATGCCCTCAGAAAAAAGAGACAACAGGGAGCGAAGAGGGGTGGCGGGGGGGAAGCAAATGAAGAGGTGGAGAGACACTGAGAAAGACGCTGCAGAGGTTCTGGGGGTTAGGTAATGCTGCCACAGAGCACTTAGCTCACTCCAAGTCCACGTCAGCTCTTGTTTCAGGGCTTGGGTAATGGACATCAAACCTCTGGCACCGTCTGCAGAGCTAGGGAAATTAAAGTTTTCCAACTCCAGACTTGGCAGGAGATGCGGCAAATGATACCTTTCACCTGAGAGGGAGGAGGGATGGGGGAGTAGTGGGGGGGGCCTTAACTGCGAGAGTGATGTCACTGGCAGAGCCCTCACAAGCCATCTGAGAAACACTTTAAGCTGGAAAACAAAACACAGGAAACCAAATCGGGAGGGTGTAACACGTTAGCATCAATCCACTGTTTGTTATATGTCTATGACAGAATCTGCTAAACTACAAATAGCTAGCTCACATTACAGCCCTTTCTTTCCACAGCAGTAAGGCAGGTTATGACCCATGCCAGTGTCTCCTCTTTGCCCGCATCATTACCATTTAAACTAACATGAACATCCTGCTGCCCAACATGAATCAGGCAGAGCGATCCCCCGCGCCCACTTTTATTACCTTGTTGACACCAGCTGCTGATTTTAAGCACTTTAAATGCTGAGTCTGAGCGGTGGCTCAAATCGTAGAATTAATGCCATTATTCCTGCCCTGCTTTCTTTTTGGCAGTGCTTTTAAGCCACCGACTTAACAACAAGCCTGGGTTTTATGCATTGAGACAGCTGGTGGGAATAAGGCACTTGCCAGTGGTATAAAACACAGAGCGTGTGTGCGCGCATGTGTGTGTTTGTAAATGCAGCGAGTGCCGTCGCGTGTGGGAGGGCATCAGAATATTAAAAACTGTCTTTTAAAAGTTGCTTGTCCTCAGTCCAATTATTAAAATTGCACATTTGTCGCACTGGTCAGTCTTTGTAAACATTGATTTATCTCTCGGGCTCAGGATTTTGGCATTAATAAAGGTGATTAAAATGTGGTGGAAATGTGACATACTGGAAACCAAATGTTACAGATTCCTCCTTCCTCTTCACCAGTTTGACACTTAACTTCCACTCTCTCCACACTGGCACGCTTCATTACTACTACGCCTGTGTGAAGTCACTCGCCTCTACTTGCACACAAACACACACCACCACACAGCCACGCACTCATGAAAGTGTGTGTGCTGTGAAGCCCACGCCCCACCCCTCTCCCCCCACCCCCCACCCACAGCACACATACACACATTCCCTCACTTCATACACACAAACTAAGAAATGCTATCTAGCAGCTGTACCTCTCCTTATGCGCAGAAAGTGTTGATCCCAGTTCTTCTCTCACACACACAGAACATATGTCAGTCAGAAACAAGGCAGACTCTGTATTCCATCTTCTGAATAAAAAGTTTGCTTCTCTTTCACACAGCACTTCTTAAGTCTCCCCAGACTCTTGTACAAAGACCCCAAGTAATAAGCGGAGGTGACCTTGTTGTGTCTAGGTGCGCGCGCGCGCTCGAGTGTGTGAACGCGCACGCGTCTGTTATTACAAAGGGAGGATCTGAGGCGCCTCAGGTAAAACAAATACAGACTCTGATAGATGCCAGCAGCACCTGTCTGATTTACATTTCCTAATTGCAAATGAATTACCAAAGAATCATTTCACAAGCACCTACAGGCAGCACAACACTGACACGAGTTCTAGCTGAAGGAGAAAGTGTTTTCACAGAAATATTTATAGGAGACTTAGAAAACTTTCACACAAGCTGAAAGTCGCCCGCAGCCTGTTTCAGTGAACTATATGTAGCAATGCAAATGATGTTCTATACATGCAACTTTAGACTTTCACAGTTTAGAATTTGAGAACGTGCTAAGTAGTGCAAGATCATTAATGCTCGTACAGGATGAAAGCTGTAGTTGTTTCATCTGGAGCCAACACACTGGACAAGCCTAACTATATTGTTTCTTCATGGGCACTCAGTGGGTCAACAAAGCCATGCAGCTTGTGCAATGGCAAATTTCATGCAAAGTGCATAGTGCAAAAAAAGTGCATCTGCTTAATTTATGATTCCACAGTTCTTTCAGTTTGTGTAGGTGTTTGTCTACAGAGTCTTCAACCAACCCAAACTGGCTCTAGGACTGACGAAAGAGAGTTCATCAGCAATGGGAGCGCAAAGAAGAACATCAAAAGACATTTAAATAATAATAATAATACATTTTATTTATAGGCGCCTTTCAGACCCTCAAGGTCACCTTACAGTAACACGTAAACAATACCATAAAAAACATAAGAAAAATGTATATATAGCAAACATGGTGGATAAAATTTAGACATAAACAGTCATAAAAGTATAAAAACAAATATAAAAACTGAGCAGGGTAAAAATGGCCTAAGACAGATCAGGTGTATGCAATTCTAAATAGATGAGTTTTGAGTAGTGATTTCAAAGTGGTGAGACAGTGTGTGGTCCGTAGAGCAAGTGGACAACTAACGGCTCTGAGTCCCATGGTAGTCAGGCGAGCAGGTGGAACTGACAGAAGGGAAGCTGAAGAAGAGTGGAGTGTAGGAAGGGGTGAGTATGTATGGAGAAGATCAGATAGATATGGAGGAGCAAGGTTATGAAGAAAGTGAGAAGCAGGATCTTGAAATTGACACGGAGGTGAATTGGGAGCCAATGGAGCTGTTTAAGAACAGGTGTTATATGTTCACTGGATCTAGTTCTGGAAATAACACGAGCAGCTGTATTTTGAACCAACTGCAATTTATGGAGGGATTTATGAGGTAGACCATAGAGAAGAGAATTACAGTAATCCAGACGTGATGTGACAAGAGCATTGACAAGTATGGCGGTACTGTGTGGTGTCAGTGAGGGACGAAGACGGTTAATATTACGGAGATGAAAGTAGGAAGACCGAGTGATATTATTTATATGTGCTGTGAAGGACAGAGTGCTATCGAGGATGACACCAAGTCTCTTAACCTGAGTGGAGGGTGTGACAACAGAGTTATCAATGGATAACGAAAGACTGGTTGGAACTGTAGTCAGTTTTGATCTGGTGCCTGTTAAAATGAATTCTGTTTTATTGCCATTAAGTTTAAGAAAGTTGTGAGTAAACCAGACCTTGATTTCACTTAAACAGTCCGAAATGGATGTGGGTGGGAGAGTAGCTGTGGGTTTGGAGGATAGGTAGAGCTGGGTGTCATCAGCAAGCAGTGAAACTGGATGTTATGCTTCCTAAAAATATTACCTAGGGGTAGGAGATAGATGATAAAAAGAAAAGGACCCAGGACAGAGCCTTGGGGTACACCGGAATTAACTGGAGTAGATACTGATCTGTGAGGGAGTAATTGAACAAACTGTGAGCGGCCAGAGAGATAAGAAGTAAACCAGGCGAGTACTGTACCATTGATGCCAATAGATGCTAATCTGTGAAGGAGGATGCAGTGGTATCAAAAGCTGCTGTAAGGTCAAGGAGAATGAGGATGGATATAAGTCCAGAATCAGCTGCAAGCAAAAGATCATTGGTGATTTTTACTAGGGCAGTTTCTGTACTGTGACATTTCCAGTGAGATGATGATGAACCTGTGCAGCCACTATTATTATTGCAGTTTTAAGAGAAGAAGGAACAGAACCAGATATAAGAGAGGAGTGTACGATATTAGCAATCAGTGGGGCAAGAGACGGGAATGAGAGTTTAACAAGATTTGTCGGCAGTGGATCAAAGTTTACACGATGATGACTTTAAGTTAGTAATTATGGAAGATAGCTGAGTTATTGTGGGAAGTTCAAAATTGGATAGAGAGGGTGACAGCTGAGAAGGACAAAAAATGCAGATAGAACAATTGACCATTTCACAGGACGAGGACAATTGTTGTTAAAATCCAGTGCTAAAAGTGTGTTTGTATGTTATCACATCACTCTTCTCTACGGTTGCCTGATGGATCAACAGCACAACAAAAAGTAGCCCACAGACCGGTTGTACCACATATTGTTGACACTTCCCCCATCCGACAACAGAAACTTTCTGCAGGTAGATGCGTTGTCTGAACCAAAGGACTGCCAACGCGTTACCACCACTCACCATAAGTTCCCCTTCTAGCACTCACCACGGTTCATAGCTCTCAGTTCAAAGTCAGCAACCTTTATCTCCTGAAGACAAGGAATTTCAACACAGCAATTCAAAGGATTTTTTTTTTTTTAAATCAATACATGTTAAATTATATCAAAGCAGAGGAGTCATCCAACTGACTTACAGACTGTCACCAACTGCAAGTAGTCCCATAGTTTTCATTTAAAATGCAACATAAACACCAATTTTTCACCTGAAATAAAATAGATTCATAACTTCAAACGTAACAAACATATTTTGGTAACATTTTTAAAATGTTACCAAATTCCGGTAAATTCCGGTAAATTCCGGTTTTGCAGCAACTCTAACGTGTCAAACTCAAAAGCACAATTTTCCCACTTCCCACAGGTGAGAAGAGATCCTGCGGGCCCGCAACAGGTCCAACAGGTTCAGACTGACAGTCAAACAACCTTCAGGCCCCCCTCGCCTTTACACCAGAAAAACAACAGCAAACAACACCTGTCCTGATGATGTCATGCTCTCACCAGTATCCCATACTCACCTGAAGACATGTTCTGCTTTTAACCTTTTTCTCCCCATCACCCCTCCCTTCCCGCCCTGAAACTAAATACATCCCGATCTCATTGTTTACCAATACAAAAAGTCACAAGTATGAAATGAACGAATAATATTAACCCGTTAACTCCTTCTATCTAAACTTGCTTCTGTGAACAGAAGGTGTAGCAAGCCGGTCTTTGATTTGAGAGCACGGCGCTGTCAGTGGTGAGCACAACGACACCACACACTAAACGTGCTCGGCACACACAAACACACACAGAGAAACGCACAACCCAAGCAGCGGGAAACAAGAGAGGAGCAGCTGTGAGTTGCACTCATCAGTTCAGATTGAGGGAGACACAGGCAGGCTGGTAAACAGACACAGATGTACGGAGCTGAGCAGAACAGAGAGTGGGAGACAGAGGAAGGTCACCCTTTCACAATAGGAAGCTAGTGACAAAGTCAACAACACTGGCTGCGTGACTAAACTACTGTAAATAATAAAATAATAAAAACAGTAAAAGTTAAAAACTGTCTATGATTGAGTTCGCTGTCATGTGAGATATCTGATCTCTCAGATGTTTTAATAAATACTAAGTCAATAAGAACAATTAAAGTCTTTTCTTTAATTATGACTTCTTTTCCTAACTTTCTAATTTTTCTGCAACAGTGACCGCAGTTTGAATCACTCGGATGCATGTCAAATTGTCATAACAACGTCTCGCGAAACCCCAGAATCTGCGCAGCCTTCTAATGAGCAATACCTGAGGAAATTCACCTGTCAAGACCTTCTCATGTGATACGCACGCAGCTTTGTCAGCAATTGTTGCCTCCCCATGAGGGTGACACCCCACCTGGGAGCTCAATCCTGTCAATGCTCACTATCTCAGTTTCCCTTTCAGTATCATGCACTTTCTCGAGTTACACCTGTTCCCAGAGTTCTCTCACTCCACCCAGGGTGACTATCAGCACCTAAATGCATAAGAAGAAAGCAACAAAATGGCACATCCATTCTTTAACATGAATAACTTGAGCTGGCGAGAAATGGAAGGATTGAGGACGTCTTTGTCACCTACATTATGGCTGAGATGGGGTGACTTGTTCTCCTCATTAAGCTATTTACCAAAAATGTACTAGTGATTTTGATATTTCCAAACTAGGTTTATAATTTGTGCCTTTGTTGGAGGACAGGCTACCAGCCAATCTCTGGCATTTGCTTTTTCTTTATATCAAAGAAAAGCACGACTGTAATTCTCTTCTCTCACCTCTCTTTACATGAGATGAAACAAATCCCATGTTTTTATTGGAAGCACAACACTTTAGAGAGTGAATTCCATAAACTATCTTTCCTTTTAATCGTGCACTATAACAGATAGTTCCCAGAAATGTATTTGCTTTTGTTTCCCATAACACGATGTGACAACATTTCCAAGAAACCGGTGCCATTTTCGTTTGCACTTTTTCCTTTGTTTAAACAAGCAAATGAGTAACTTGAATTAATAACTTGTTCCAAACTGTTACAAATACTTCCAGAAAAAGACGTAATGATCCAAGCCTCTAGGCTACCGTAACATGTAACCAGTCTGAGATAAACATTTACTTGCATAACCGACCAGACATTAATAGCTGATCAGCACCTGGAGCCGAAGCAGTTTCCAGTTCCTGACTTAAAATGCTAATAAGTTATCTAGGTGTGTGTATGCATACACACAAGCCTGGCTGTTTGTAGCCCGCGGGAGGTAGAAGTGAAAGACCACCAACTGAACAACAAACCAGGTGGTGAAATCAAAGAGAAGACAAGACGGTCCAGCAACTGTTATCCTCAAACAGCCAAACTAAAACTTCAGGGGGTT